TCGTATCAGCGTTGCCACATACAATCTTTCCCTCTTCCAATTGTTCATCTTCTTCTCTGATCGAAAACACACATATGATTGTTGACACCATGTGTTCCTTTAATCTACTTAGGTATGGCGGTGGAGAGGCAAAAGAGCAACACATATCAATAGAAGCCGATGATGTAACCGTTTTTAGCCTAAGCCGAATAGATGGAGCCAACTTATCCGTCATCAATATGCATTTGATTGGAAATGAATGGCGGTGAGCAGAGCGAGTACATACAGACGACTCCAAACCCAAGCCAATATTTATTTATTTGGACCAAAATTGCCAAGGTCCACAAAGCATTGTGGCAAAAAATTAAAAAAAACTACACTGTTCATAAGGTGGTTTATGACAATTGAGACTATATATAATCAGTAGATATTGGAACAAAATTTCGAGAATAAAATATTATTGACCAAAAGTGTCGTTTGAAAAAAAAAAAAAAAACCTGGGATTATTTATTTATTTATTTATTTTTACGTTAGAAACTAGTTTCGTGAATACGCGTGGTTTTATTGTGTCTACGTGTGTAATGCGGTATAATAAGACGGTCCACCGTATATGAGAACCTCCTCTAAATCGCAGGCGCTGGTTTCTGAAAGAGTTAGGAAGAACATACAACCCACAAACTCTTCATAAATTCTCTCCAATCTCTCGAGATCGATCAAAGATTAGCAGATCCGATCCTTCGAAGCTACAATGGTAACCGTTTGTCTCCTGTTTCTTGAATTTGGGGTGTTTCAATCCTTACAGTTGAAGTTCCCCGATCTTTTCTGATTGCGTCTCTTTTTGATCTTCTGTGCTGTTTGTAGTCGATAACTATTTACGTCGCATTAGGGCTGTCCGATCCAATAGCTTGATGGATTTGCATGTGAATTTGGTTTAGATCTGGGTAACACCGATCGGATCTGTTCGAAATTGGGATTTCCTTAAATGAGTATGTTAGGTTTTTTTTAGCATGTCCATTTATATATTTTTCGATCCACTAGTAGATATATCCTGATAACTAAAGTCATCGCTTTCGTTGGTGATCGAAAGAATATATCTTGATTTAGGAATATTTCACATCTGAAATCCAGACGTAGTAATTTTTCTTTGAAACTAATTTAACTCCTAAAAGACTAAAAGTATTCGATTAGAGAAGTCTGCGAATGAGTATATTCTGAATTTGAAGCGTACAGATTCTATGATGTGTTAGGATCATAATATGAAGGGATAACATAGAAAAAAACATATAACATATTGCTGGTATTTTGCCATGTCACATCAATTCAATATGCTAAAGGTTTTCATTTCAATTTATGCTTTATTCTAATTCACTAAAAAGAGAAAATTCAAATTGTTTACTGATCACCTTTCTCACAAAAAACTTATTCAATATTCTGGGAAATGTTTGCTTCTATCTCCTTAATTTGCTTTTTTCTCCAATATGTTGTGTGGGAATAGGATCTTGGAAGCACTATTCGTATAGGAATTCAAAATTAGGTTATGTAATACATGTAAGCATCAAGCATGTCTCTTTTTGTTTGGTTGGCCAGGTAGGCAGGGTCACTTAAGAGTTTTGGAAGCTTTTTGATACACTTTTGTTTTGTTTTTAGCATTCAAAGTTGATGTACCTTTTAGTTCTTCTTTATTCATGGATCATGGATGGATTTCTCCTGTTGCTTAATAAGTGAATTTTCATTTGTAGACTACATCCAAGCGTTTGGCTGATAGAAAGGTGGAGAGGTTTGAGAAGAACATCAAGAAGCGTGGCTCTGTTCCTGAAACTACAACAAAGAAAAAGGACTCTTACCCTGTGGGACCTATAGTGCTTGGTTTCTTCATATTTGTGGTGATAGGATCCTGTAAGTTTCTCTCTTGTTTAAACTTTTCCAGTCTCTTTTTTTTTTTTTCATTTTGTTTTATATATTTACATGCTGATCACGAAATTAAAGTCATTTCAAACTTCCACATATAGACTTTTTAGAATGAAAATGCATGAATAATGGTTTTAACATAGAACTTCATCCTTCTTAATTGTTCAAAAACATATGCTCCTTACAATAACCAACCGAATGAGACTAAATGACCATTTTCCCCTTACTTTCCAAAAAACAAATTCACAATATTCATCAATTTTAACAATATTAATGTGAGAGGAGTTGGGAGGAAAAGAGAAGAAAGACAAATAGGTAAAGGGTTAGCGTCTTAGTACATTACTCCAGTTTTTTTGGTTCAAATTCTGTCATGATTAAGTAAAAAACAAACATGTATAGCTGTAGAAATAAAGTAGTTAATCCATTAAACTATTTTAAGTAAAAAAGAAACAGCCACTAAGTTCTGTTAAAGCCATGAAGTAGTCCCATTGGAAAAGAGTTATTTTTGTAATTTTGTAACTGATTATGGTTTTGGTTTGTAACAGCTTTGTTTCAGATAATCCGCACAGCAACAAGTGGAGGCATGGCTTGATACTTGAATGGGTGGATAGAGTCAGTTTCTTTCTTCCAAATGGGTAGAGCCTACTTTGTTTTATGGTTTTATGGTTTGTTTTGTTAGAGCTAAAGTTAAGTTAAGTTAAGGTCGTATGTTGAAGGATTGTTGTGACTACTGAGATATAACTCAATAAACTATATAAAATCATATTTACAAAAAAAAAAAAAGAAAAAAAAAAAAAAGAAAAACAAAGATCCTTTGTTTCTTTATGGTTGTTTATAATTTTACTTTATAGTGGTGTGCAAATAAAATCAAGAGATGAAGTCATTGAGGCCCTACAGTTTTTTTTTTTTTGGAATTGGATTAGTTGGTCCCGGTGGATTTTTTTTTTTTGGTTTTCTAGGTGCTTATTCTTCAATATTATGGTTTAAAACGTCCTTCAACTCTAATATTATGGTTTAAAACATCCGTTCAGCTTAATTATGAAGGGTAATCATGTAAACTTTTGTCTAGTCATGATGATGCCTTCATGGTCTTTGTCTTCATCTTCATCTTCACATGCCCTCGAACCTGCAACAAAAAAAACCAGCATCTTACATCCTCCAATCCTGACCTTATAGTCGTCCCTATTCATCATCTTCTCCATAAACACATGCAACTTCACCATCTCTGATCAATTGTTCATCCCCATGCAACCACTAGAGCATCACCTTTACTGCTTTACACCATATCATCTTGATTGGTCATTTCGATCAGTCAGCACCTTGATTGCATCAGCGAAGACCCATCTCCTTGTAGCTGAAACCCACCTTGTTCATCATTTTCCTCATAGACGAACACCACTGCCAACCAATCTTTCAACCACCATGAATGAACCTCCATCTGTTACACGCCGTCACACCATCACAAGGCCAATGCAATCAACACGTTCTTCATGCTCGCAAATCGAAAAAACCAGAAGGGTAAAGACGCATTGTGATTGAGCTTTCAAGGAGAGAGAGAGAGAGAGAGAGAGAGAGAGAGATTTACTATCATTTTTAGCATGTCAACATTAACTTTCCGCCCCTAAGAAAAATACATTCCCAGACCAACTAAGGGGGTGTTTGGCATTATTTATTAGCTTATAACTTATTAACTTATTAGCTTATAAGTTAATAAGTAAGTGTAGGGTATTTATGAAAAAAATGACTTATAAGAGATTCCCCACCGGAATAAGTTACTTTCATCCAAACATTTTTTTAACTTATAGTGGTGTGGAACCTAATAAGTTGTTTTGAAAAGCTTAGCCTAAATCAATTTCGAAAAATTTGTAGGAATCATTGTTATTCAACATCATTTACATAGAAATTGATAAAATTGGTCAGATTATGTTTATGAGAACAAAAAGGATACGATCCTTGTTTATACAACACTAACTTCATATAGACTCTATTTATTCATTCTAACACTTTATTCAAACAATACTTAATATTTTAATATAAAAAAAATCAAGAAAAAAGGCCCATAAGAAATATATTGGTTTATCAGTTTATATTTAATCAGATTAATAAGAAATAAATTATTTTATGATTAATCAGATTTCCTTTTTATAAACATGTTTCTTATTTGACTATAAATTGATCGCCTGTGGCTTTAAACAAATATTTCAAAATAAATTGACCATAACATTTCGATTAGAATGAAGTTGTCCATTTTAAATTAAGTACAACCCTAAAGGATATGGTATACCGGTCACGAGAGGTGTTTGTAGCCATGTTGGCATCTCACCACCACAGTGCACATCACTCCGAGGGTAGTGTTGTGTTTACCTGACACCACGTGCGTTGGCTATTGTGATATGCACAACGAGAGGCAACACTGGACAATCTCTATCTCTGTCTTGCTTTTCACTCCTTTCCTCTCTCCTCTCTCATCCTCTCTCGTGGCTACTGTGTTGGGGAGTATACCCCATGACCGTCGTGCTTCCGTAGTTGCTTAGCGGGAAGAAACACACACCTCTTGGCTTGGGAAGTACACCTCATGGCCTAATTGGTTGTGAAAATGGACCGAAAATTTCCATATTTCTAAAGTTGATAAGATAGACAACACGCAATGTAAATATTTAATTAACATTGATACCATTGTCCATTGGTTTATATCAAGAGAAATTAAATATCATTTTACTTTTATTCTTATCAATTCTTCTATCAATTAAGAGAAATTAAATATTCTCCTATTTTTTGTCATCATTTAAATGGATAAGAGGATGGATAAGAACAAAAAGTAGGAGGATATTTAATTTCTCATCAATTAATCATAAACACACCTAGATTCTAAAAATTACTATTAAAACCCATGCTAAAATGATATAATTACAGTATTACTGTTATAATTAATATGTTTACAAATAACTAATTTCTATTAATCCAAATTGTTATTTTAATAATACATTTTTTCTAATCATTTGCTTATAATTTTCCAAATTGATCCAACAAGTGTTGTAACTTGTAAGTTTGGGTCCTTCTTATAAACGTGTGCCGTTTCGTGTTTCATTAAATAAAAACTGTGGCGCTTAGGGGGTATTATTGTGATTTTCTAGAACATGGAAGCATATTACTGTCATTTATGAATAAAAAGAATTTCGTAACCGTAATCCCCCCCTTCATTTTTTTCTCTCCAACTACTCCTTCGCCGTTTTCTCGACGCTTCGACAATGGACGCCATAGATTCAGTCATCGATCCTTTGAGGGGGTTCGCTAAGGACAGTGCTCGCCTTGTAAAGAGGTGCCACAAACCTGATCGCAAAGGTATGCATGCATCTCGATCGAATTTTTTGTGCTTCTGAGTGCATGCTTGTACCTACCGACTACCGTTTTATCTAACTATCAGATTTCTTACGATTCGGTGCAGAATTTACAAAAGTTGTTTCTCGTACTGCCATTGGATTCGTTGTAATGGGATTCGTCGGCTTCTTCGTTAAACTAATCTTCATTCCTATTAATAACATCATCGTCGGCGCTTCTTAGGGTAATTTTCGTCTGTTGTTGCGCAATTGCTTGATTGTGTACGCAATTTCACATGCATTCGCCTGTTCTATTTCATGTTTTATGTTTCAGTTCTGGAGCGATAAGATTGAGAACTGTATTTGTGGTTTATGATGATCGTACTATTTTGTATATCCTGATAATCTGTCGCAGAGGAATTGCTCGATTGTGGATGAAATTTTGCATTCATTCTCCTTTCTATTTCATGTTTCTTTCAGCAACGGAGTAATATGATTGCTAATTGTGATTTATTTTCTTATAATATTTTCCTGCTGAATTGCTTGATTGTGTATGAAATTATACCAAGAGTCCTAAACGAAATTGTTATGAAGTGTTAATCAATGTGGGATGTTTCTATTACCAAAATCAATGTTTTCAGAAGCAATGAGTAGATTTCAGCTCACCTTATTTGCAGGAAACACAGAAACAATGAATATTAGTACACATCTTGGTAGGAAAAGGCCTCTTTTTTGCTGAATGTTCCTGAAACTGTTCTTTCTCTGTTTGTAGTTCTCTTGTTTGGATCTGAATTTGTGAGTATAAAAAGGTTTATCTCATTTGTGACTTTCTGTTCACTTCAATAAACTTTCAGTTGTAAGTGATAGAATTCATTTCTATTTTTGTTTTTTTTTAAAATGCTGAATGTACTTTCTAGTTGCATCCTGAAAGTTGTATACTCTCTATAATGTTGGTGACTTAGTCTTTAGGGTGAATGCCACAAATAGGTATTTATAAATAGTTTGTAACTCATTTATGACATTAATATATAATGTCAAACTTCTGTGACAGGCAGCATGGAATGGAGATTGAAGCATTTAAAGGTGAGAATAACATGAATACTAATGTGCTTAATCTCTATGCACAGATGTATCGTATGTTTTTCTTTGCTACTTAGCATTACTACTGATAAGTGAGGATAGAGTGAGAGTTGTGGAAGGTGTCCAAAGTGTATCGTATGTTTTTCTTTTCATTGTTACTTTGCATTACTCGTGACATCATTTTATTAAAATGAGACTGAGAGAAAAAAAAAAGCCAATGAAAACGTTGGATTTGTCTTAAAATATTGATTCTCTGCGATTTCCGTGGTTTATAGTCTGCCTTAAATGCAAATAAAAATTGGTATATCTAAAGCTTTGTAAACATGTTTTATTATGTTTGTTATTGAATGCGAAAGATGCTTCATAAGATGCCAACAATTTCTTCTTGGTATCTCTGCTAAAAAGAAGTCTTGGGCATACAAGCCATAGATTCTCTCAAAACGTTGTGTATGTAATTAAGAACTCCATCTCTATGTGTAATTCATTTATACAAGGATCCATTTTTCGATCCAAAATGAAACTAATCAATGAAACAAACTCGACATCGAACTTAATTGGGTTATTCAATTTGGATTCCAAAAAATTATTCAAGATGTGTTCTCGATCGAGAGGACCACGTGAAAGCGAGTGGTAATTGGATCCGTTTATATGAAGATGATTCGTTTCAGATATATTTTATATTAATAATAGGTCAAACAAATTAGCTATAAAGAAAACCCAAATTATTAAAACCTTTGATGAACATTTTCAGTCATTTTCCGTTAACAAAACAATATATTACATTATTTTAAAAAATATTATTATAGTGATGTTTAATACATTTAAATTTATATAAAAATATACTTAGCGGGTGGGTGGGTGGTTGGCTTTCCATCCTGCTCCTGCCCAACAATCATCATGCTTCCAACTTAAGTAAATCCATTCTTCATCTTCACTCAATCCAAAACAAACAAACCAACACCACCATGTTTAATTGGAAAACCCCCACCCCCTTCAATCCCTCCCTTAGTTGTTAAAACAAACTTCCAAAGGAAAGAAAAAAAGAAAAGCATTACATCAAAACAAAAACAAAAACAAAAAAAAATGCTCCATTTTTGCCACACCCACTATTGCATTTGCATTCAAGGTTTCTCCAGATATGGTACTTGCCAAAAGGAAAATCATCCTTCCTCTTGTTTTTCTTCTAGTAATCATCTCCATTCTTAGACTACTCAAACTCACAATCACCTCATCATCTTTTTCATCTCCCACACTTTTTATAAACAAATCATCCACATCGATATTTTCACCTACTACCATCATTTCCAAGCTGAAGCAAACCCACAAACCACCACTCACCCAAAAGGAGATCCAATTTCTAATGGATATAATCATTCAGAAATCTCCATGTAACCTTCTTGTTTTCGGGTTACAAGACCAGTACCTCAAGCTACACGCCATTAATGGAGGTGGTACCACAGTTTTTATAGATGACAATCCAGAAAACCTAAAGAAATTGAAAGGGAGTTCCAAATCCAATTCTAATGGCACCCTACAAGTTTATAAAGTTGAGTACAACACATATGCCAAGGACGCATACAAGTTGCTGAAGCACGCAAGATCAAACTCAAGCTGTGATCTTCGTTCTGGGATAACAAGTTTGATGAAGGAATGTAAGCTTGGGTTAACAGTAACAGGGATGCCAATGGAAGTGGTGAAGATGAAGTGGGATGTGATTGTTGTGGATGGACCAGATGGAGATGGACCAGAGTCACCAGGAAGAATGGGTTCTATTTTTATGGCAGGTGTTTTAGCCAATGGGACCAATGTGGTTGTTCATGATGTTGATCGAATGATTGAGAAGTGGTTTTCTTGGGAGTTTTTGTGCCATGAGAATTTGGTTTCCTCTAAAGGGAGATTTTGGAATTTTAGGATACCTCACCAGATTATTAGAAACAATTCTAGCAAATTTTGTGAAGCATAGACAAGTTACGTAG